ATTATCCTTCACATCCCATCTCAGTTATTAACATTATCATCTTGGTATCATTCTTATTTACATCCATCATTGTGTTTTATTGTACTTCATCGTTATAATTTATTTCCATCATTTTAATTATACTTCCCTATCATAATTATATTACCATCGTTTATTTATTTGCTTTCGTCACCATGTTAATGTTTATCTCCCCCAATTTCATCCTATGTCACAGTTATTGTAATCTCCAATCGTCTCATTGATAATCCCCCACCTACTGCCCCATAATCCCTGACCCTGGATCTCTCCAACGAATACGTACGACCACCATCAGTGATTCAACAACGTGTTCCTGAAGATGGCATAACGCCGAAACGTTGAACTTTGTAAATGACATCTCTATTTGCGCTGGTAATACATTGTCAACCACTGATATCAACAAAAACACTGATAATTATGATTACAAAACCAACAAGATTATCCGTAATAATAATAATAATAATAATAATAATAATAATAATTAATTATGATAACAATAATAATAATAATAATAATAATAATAATAATAATAACGATACTGATGAAAGTTTCGAATGTTAGTCAAGTTTTACACCGAAGCTTACCAACCGATTGAAGTTAAGCTCACAAAAATACAAATCTATGATTCCAAGTCACTTGTTCTGAGTGATTAATGAATGCGTTTGTGAGTAAGAAATGAGACTTCGTGGGTATTGATTCTTTTAAAATTACGTATGGTACAGAGTTAGATGATGTTTAAAAATAATGAGATCGGAGGTTTGGGCTTTGGGAAAGGAAATTGCAAATGAGAAAAGTGAAATGAAAGTGGACATTTTCCATGGTCAACCAATCACTGAATACAACACATTCAGTCATTTGATGAACTGACCATATGCAGCACGGCCAATATGGTTCTGAACAATGACTGTAAACTTGTACAGAGTCATTCTAGGATTTGCATGCAATCAGTCACAAATAAGATCAATTTTCTTGATAGCATTCAATTCGGCACACAGGTCAATCGGTACAGAATCAAACAAAACAGTTCAAATAAACGCATACACAGAGGTCAAACATAGCAAAGGCATTTTCATTTAAGACACAACACTCAAATTAGTAAAAAATTCATCATATAAATAATCGTATGAATGTTAAGCTGAATTTTGTACAAACAATATAATTATCACATAATAACATTGAGCATTTTCTCATTATAAAATCCTGATAACATTTTAAAGACAAATTAGTATTATATATTATAGAAGAAATTAGTAGGAAACAAAGATCCACTGAATAATCGATTTATTATGTTATTAATTTTATGGATGTGATATCGTTCGATCTTGAATAGCCGTTACAGCTCTCTTGATCGTCATCATTGTCTTCGCCATAATCTGAGAGAACAAAGCAATCAATAAGTAACATCATTCAAGGAAATAATAATTCAAAAATAGGTGAATTCATCATCCGAATCAATGAATATAATGGCTATGATTAGCAAAGATGGTGATCTCAGATAATGGTAACAACTGCAACAATCACAAAAAGTCATCTGACCACCTATCTATCGCATAGGTAATGTAATGAATACCGTAGAGAATGCTCACTTTTATTGGCAAAACCGAAGAGAGGAAACACTACACAATGACCAAAAATCCAAAAAAATAATAGTGGTCTGAGCAGTTTCAAACTGATGACGGAGCGGTTTACTGAGTTGTCGCATTCCTAAATAAAGATGACATTATATTCATGTCTACTACCAAACATAAAATCACACACACAAAAAGGCTATAACTTACATCTGATGAAGATGGTAATTCTTTATCATCATCCGATATGCAATCTAAACCCTTTTCGATTTCGGTCAAGAAAATCTCCTCTTTGACTGCTGCATCGAAAAGCGAATAAAACAGTACATTGTCCGCAGGTGCTGTTAAGTAAAGCCATAGTATAACGATACCATTAACGATAACAGTTGTAATGAATAATATACCACATAGGTATTGAGCTGTTCGACGACTAAAAAACTGGAATAAAGAAATCGTAGAATTGAAGTGATCGAGGTGAGAAGATATACGAAAATATCAATATATTACTGCAACGATTGAAACGAAAGAGGATAGAATCGAACCCGTTCGGGATGTTTCTCCTTACTGAATTTGAAGAAAAATGGAACGATTGAAACCATCGATAACATCACAGCAATTGTGGACGTTATCCACAATATTAATAACCTTTGTTCATGCTGAAATCTGATCATAATAATCTTATTATTCATCGCGCTACCTATATCTTTTTCGAAACAATCGAACTCTATGGGTAAAATGCTAAGAGCATTTTAAGAATCTGTGAAAAAATCCACGAACCAATCGCAAAATTTCTCGTTCTCGATCCGTCCAAAAGAAACCATCGATTTGCTTTTGTTGTGTATCGTCGAACATTTTGATAGCAACCGGGAATAGGATAGTACAAAGTTCATAATATTTTTGACCAATAGCCATACTTATCGAAGAGCAAATCAACTCGAAGCCACAAATAACAAAAACACCGAATTTATGATATGGTGGCAATACACCACCCCACTGCACCATATAGGATAGGGATGGGATCGCGACCATTGACAACTATGGTCTTTGTTGCTATTGTTTAGTGGCACTGATGAATTTGAGATCGTTGAATATGAGCGGTAACGACTGAAAAAATATTTGATACGTTTAAAAACCTCACAGCATTTGGTCATCTAACTGATATGTCCGTGTAGAGGAAGTGAATAGACTGGACTCGGCATCGAGATCGACCAATCTAAACCGATGAAATTCTACCCTTCAAGACTGACCATATGCTACGGCATCAGACCGCTCAGAGGTTCATCTCGTTCAAATACGAACAAATCGCAACGATCTGCTGATTGTGCACAATTTAATAGCTCATTGAGCTTATACGTAAATGTGCATTAATCGTTCCCGTTTTCGGTAATACTCATACAAATGGATCACTATTATATATGGTTGTTTTAGATTTGCACATTCAGATTAATATATGATGAATTGTTAATAATGTGCCGTTTAACTTCTGATATTGTAAAACGTCATGTTAATGAGGCTGCCACGTGCAAAATGGCACACTATTTCAACTAAACCAGTACAATGCCATCAGGCAATTTGCTTTGCTTCCATACTGAACATGTCCACTAAGCAATTAGCAGTATTGTTAGTTCTACTATTAATAACAATAGTACTAACAATAATGCCATAATGATATCAATAACAACAACAATAATGATAATATTAATCATAATAATGAATAAGCAATTATAATGAATGAATAATAATGACAGCAATAATAATAATATAATATAATGTAAAATTATACTACGTAATACTAATAACGACTACTAGATCATTTGAGTAAGCTTGGGTTTAAATTCAAGAATCAAACTGAATAATTGAATAAAAAATCCATGCACGCAATACGCACCTCCTCAATAAGAATCATAAATAAAACGATCAAACTGGTTAAAAGCAATTCAATTGCTTCTATTCAACCGATGTCGCCAAAATACAACAATTCCAACGTTTTCATGTACTACCGCTCATGATACTATACTTTTACTGGTATTACCAGTAGTTACACAATGACAACGGTGATAAGCACATCGCTGTTATTATTTTATTCCATTATCAAACAAACAACACATTATCAAACCGCTGATAAACACCAATAATCATTTGAAACGTCTATTACACTAGCACTAATAAATAACAATTATTATGATAATAATGTCAATAATAGTACCAATAATAATAATAATAATAATAATTTATCATTCCATGCCAGTGTGATTTTTCAATGCTTCTTCATGATTCAAATACCCTAACACAGACACAAAAACAATTACCTTATCAATAAAAATGATTGTTATGGAAGGCAACAGCAAATTGAAATACAAAATCGACCATCCTCTAACCGCAAACATTTGCTTATCTCGTTTCATATCACAATACTGTCATGCTACCGTACTTGGAATGGCGAGTGATCCACTGAAGTCACAAAAAAATAATTTATCATTCCATTCCAGTGCGATTTTTCGATGCTTCTTCATGACCCAAATACCCTAATACAGACACAGAAACTTATCAATAAAAATGATTTTATTGATGAGGTAATTGTTTTGTGTCTGTGTTACGTTATTTCATTGTTTTGTGTCTTTCATATGTTATTTCATCACTGTCATCAACTATTGCTAACACGATTGTTATCGTTATTATTATTATTATTATTCCAAATGAATAAATCTTTGAAGATGTTGAAAAAATGGAATTAATCGACTAATGGTCAACTGACTGATTGACAACCCAAGTATGATTAACTTTCTCTGATCACTTCAAATAAATCGAATGAAATAAAATTATTTCTAACAAAAGGAAGCAATAATTCTCCGACTTCAGTTGATGATCAATTGATTGATTTAATTGAATTTCATTACTCATTTTTCATACTTTTTCATTCATCATGCAACGCAAACGTATATGACTTCTCATATTAGTTCTATATAAAGAAACCAATCTTTTCCAAATAATTGATCATAATTTGAGCATTTTAATTACCTTATCAAGCTGCTACTGTTACATACGAAAATAATAAGTGTTCCATTTCAACATCATATCATGATCAATATTAAAATTATCATTTTCGAAACGTTACCATTTACTATCGAAAAACTTCAACCTCTCAATATTATTTTTAACGTTTAAAAAACGATGTTAAGCACCATTTATGAGCAGCAGCTTATCACACTACATGGAAGCAAGTGAACAAAAGACAGTAAAAAAGGCCAATTTAGGATTACATCTTACGCTTGAATTGCCCTTTTTTCAAAATGGGCGATAACAACCGTCAAGTGACTTGCAGAGAAAGTGATTTCAGAGACATTTTACAATGTCTCTGAAATTATCGCGACTTTTTCTCATCTTTCTCGAAAGCGGCTAATAAATATTGCTGTCACACTTCGTGGAAAGAGAGTGGGTAGCGAGTAACGGATGGGGGGAGGGGTACGGGCTTCTTCAAGAAGACAGCTCACTTCCATGACTATAACAAAAAACAATCGTTGGTGCCAAAAAGATGGACGGTGTTAAAGAATGAAAAAATTGCCAATTTATAATTGACAGGCAAATACTAACTGTGCACCATAAATGAGAGCAGATAAAATCGCTAATCAATGAAATGAATAATAAATGATCAAAATGTTAGTAATTACTGCTAAACGTAACGCTAATCAAAATGCTACTTAAAACGAACAGACGAGCAATGAAACTTCATTATCACTCACCTTGACGAGAACCCAACTCTATGATTAATATCACTGTTGAATGCCTCATTTTGATTTCTTCGATGCTTCATTTTGTTTTCAAATACAATAACAACCAATTGCAATGCTTCAGTTTTAAAAGATCTCTTTCCGCGAATTCATTCGTTCATTCATTTGTGAAACTGGATCTATATACCTACAGGTCAAATTTAACACAATAACAAAACGTCTAAATGCAAAACTAATGAAAATTGACGCCGGCAAATAGCTTTCCAATCAATTGATGAACCATCACCATCAAACCTTACAGTCTTTTTCCGCTTTTTTTGCTTTCCATGTTATTTCAATCGTTCAATCAGATGGAATGCTAGAGTTTCCACATCTTACGGTTTAATGTTTATGGACGTTGCTGTAGCTTACAGGTAGATACCGTCTGTGCATTTCACCGATAAACAACGACCTATTGCATATTTACACAAGATCAAAACGCGAAAAATGACAATAACAACAATAATAATAACATAAATATAAATAGTGACTTTAAAAAACAACGAGAAATGCCATTTTAGAGGGTAGAAACGCAACAAACTATGGTTCATAACTGATCATGAGAATATGACAAGATGAATGAATAATGATAATGATGAAAAAAATAAAAACTGAGATTACAATCGCAGTGACAAGATATGACTGTTGTAAATAGACGTATTGAATGAATAAAACGAAATAAATAATGAGGAATAGACCGAATAAAACAAAACATATATATAAGAGTGAAAACTTTTTTGTTTCGGAATTTGTAAGGTTCCAGTAAAGAAAAATATGCGTTTCGGTCTAGAAATAACCTATGTGGAAATTTATTCAGCTTGAGAGTAGATGAATAAATTCGTTTCTTACCAAGGGCGCCATAGTGTGACAACATCTCATTCCTCAAAAAACTCTCCTCCGATCTGAAAATAATCGGCGTGAGTTTGCCCCAGAATAAATTAATCTGAAAAGTCACTGGGTCAGTGTTTTCACCTAAGGCGCCTAAGTTCATAATGCGAATGGCACAACTTTTCAAACGCATTTTTAGTCAATTAATTTCCACAGAGGTTGCCTCCAGTAAAAAAACAATTTTGGGAGAGTAGCACCAAAAAATTTCTAATGTTGAAATTCGTACACTACGGTGCCTAGAAAGAAAAAATTAACTCAGGAACCTTCCAAACCTATCTTTTGGAACGATATTTCACACAGGTTCATTAAGCCCAAAAGGCATAATTTTCTGGGTTGGAACTTGCATTTTTCAGAATTCCCTTTTGTCCAAACAGAACTTTGTCACCCTTATATAT